CTTCAGGGCCATCCTGAGTCCCAGGTCGAGAACGCTTCTACTGATAAGCACGCTTCTAATGATAACTAGATCTCCCCTCTCCATCCCCACAAAGATCCTGAGAGGGTCCCATTTCCTGCTCTTGTACCTCGGAGGAAACTATCTTTTCATTTCTAATGAAAATGAAATCTCATTATTGGGAGGTGGTAGCAGTAGGGTATCAGTCAATCAGAGATTGAGGGTCCTCTCAATTTTCCACGAAAAAAATGGAAGGTGAGATAGGAGGAAGAAAGGAGAGGCTGGGATCTAAAGGGCGAGACCCTCAGGCCGAGCGGAGTTCACCGCGCAATGAACCCCACCGCGCAGTGAACCAGCTCAGCCGGCCACGCAGCCCGCGCTCCCCGCCCCGCGCGCCCTATTGTCCGCCCAAGCCCGGGGTCGTGACCCAGCTGAAGGCGACACCGCACCCAGGGCGGACGCGGCGTGGAACCCGGAGGAGGAGCCTGGCTGCCGCCGGCCCCTGAAACCTCGCCTTTGCCCGGGCTGGCCTCATTTGGTGACCCTCAAGACCCCGGCCTCTGCGAGAAGGGGAGCTGGGACACCCCCACCCTATGAAGACAGTCACATTTTGCCCCATTCTCTCGCGGCCAGGCTTCCCGGGAAGCCAGAGCTCCAGAGTGGAACCTAGGGTTTGGCTATCTGGCAGTGCCTCCTGCACACTCAGTTCCAGGGTTTTTTTTTTCTGCCTGGAAATTAAAATACTGTATACTTTCCTTTTCCGATCCTTGATGCTGGGAAGAGAGGGAGTCAGAAAGGAGGAGTGAGTAGAGGCGACACTCTTCTGGCTTCACTCATACCCCATCGAGGCAGGCAGAGCTGACCCTAGAGGATGCTGCCTATTCAGGAATCTGAAAATGTTGATGGGGCCTGGAAATTTAAAATAGTCCTTTCCTATTTATTAGGCTCTGTAACCGTATTCACCCTCAAACCTACTCTGAGATTGCCTACCCATCCTTGTCTTTCCTTCCTCCCAATTTATCCTCTAGGCCTGGCAGAAAGGAAAAGCAGGAAGATGGGGTTGCAGAGGCCCTTATCCCGGCAGGCCTGGATGTGGGCTCTGCTGGATTGGCCCTGCCTTCAAAGAGCTACGGAACTGACACCAGAGAGAAGAGAAGAAAAACGCGGAGGACTGGAGGGAGACCCAAGGGCTCCTGACCTTGGAGGGCCGATGAGCAAACTCCAGATGGGCTTTAGTTTCTTTCTGCTCCCCAAGTTCCAAAGGGGTCTGAGCTTCTTGAGCTGTGCAGGTTTTAAAATGTTGGAGGGCTTCTCACAGGTTTGTGGTTCAGAGTTCACCACCCCCAGTTTAAATTATCAAGAGGCAGCTAAAACTCCAACACCCAAGCAGCCACAAGCTGAAGGAGAAAAATCAAAATGGGGCTGGGAATGCCGGGTGCAGAAAAAGCAGGCTGAGAGGGGTGGTCGGCTCTATCAGAAAGATTGGTAAGAGGTAAAGACTTTTTTTTTTTTTTCTTTTTTACCAAATCCCCCAAATGTTTGTTTTGGGCTCCTGCCCATCCAGATAAATCAAGCTAACAGATTAGGAAGTTCATAAAATTGTATTCTTAGGTAATGACATCCAGAGAGGTAATAAATATTCCCTCTGCTCTGGTGGCCGCTGGAGTTCTGGTGTTCAGGGATCTTCCATCTCTCGTTCCAAGCCTGAGAGGGGTCTCTTGGAAGGGGAACATTTAAATTAAAATTAGCTCTCCATAGGTGCAGTGCCAGATAGAAGCTGTGGAAAACCTGGAGCGGTGGTTTTGTGAGTGCAATAGCATGCTCCCCCAGGACTGGGCAAAAAGCAGAGAAAAAGATGGTACAGTTGCTCCAGCGCACGCTCCGTCCCGTCATAGCACCCTTGATCTTAAGGGCCCCTTTCAGAGTCAGTCTCCCCTAATCCTAGAAAAGCAGAGAAGGACACCCTGGCCCCAAGCTCCCAGCAAACCTTTCAATTGTTTTCACTTCCCTACCACTCCCCCAACACACACACACACACACACACACACACACACACACACACACACACACCCCTAGCTGTGGGAAGCTGTCTCTGGATTTCAATCTGCCAAATCCAAGCAGAAAGAAAACTGAAGCACAGATTGCAGAGAAAACTTCGTAGGAAACTTTACACAAACAACAGCAAGAGACCCTCGGACAGGGAACGTGCCTCAGTCCTTTTCCCTCAGTCTAACTTTCTCAGACTCTCTCTCTCTTTTTTGAGCCAAATTTCTTTACTCCCCGGGTACACAGACTCGGCACAGAAACGTCTTTTTCTCCAAGCAGAACCCCTCCGCTCACAATTGGATTTCCCGCCTTCACTCCCTAAGACCGGGGATCGTGACAAAAATTGACTGGCAAATAGAGTTTAAACTTTTGTGCTCCTCACCCCCAGAGCAGACCGAGTGCTAACTACTTACATGTCAAAGGGATCTTTGGCCTATGGGGATCTCCTGGCGCTTGGAGAGAAGGAACCCTGGAAGATCGGTGTCGCCGTTTCACACGTCTTCTTTTTACTTAGCCATTGAAGAGAGAGGGATACAATGCACTTACAGGCATTCCTGCGCCTTGCCTCTCCCATTACTCTGGGCAAGAAATCCCCAGTCCTACAAAAGCTGCGGCATCCTATCTGGAGACCAGGGCTGAGCAAGGGCTGGCTTGGGAGGGTCAGAGATGGGGGTGGGGGAGAGGTCAGAGGCGCTGCAGAATATAAAGGCAATGGGAGAGAAAATGCTGTGTCCTCCCCGTGAACCTGGGCTGTGTCCTCCCCCCAGTCTTTCCCCACTGCTCAACCCAACTTAAATAAAAGCTCAGCCCTCAGCTTCCAGTGAGGCTGTAGCAGCATCAGGCAGAGAGCAGGGACCAAGACTGCTGGGGCTTGGGGCCCTTGGCCCAGATTGGCCCCCCACATCCCAACCCTGCCCTGCCATTCTGGGTGACGAAGTCCAAGGCAAAGGAGAACTTTGGGGAAAGGGGAGAAAATGGAGCCCACTGGAGAGAAGGCCAGAGGACAAAATCTTCAAACTCAAATGTAAGGGATTTTAGTTTGGGTTCATTTGTCAAGAATTATGGATTTCTGATGTTTCTCCTTTTCAGACCATAAAGGACAGAAGGAGACACACAGAGAATGACCATGTATGTGAGGGAAGAGGAAGGAGAAGAAATAGAAGACACAAAGAAGGGGAAATAAAATAAGTGTCCCAACCCTTTTATGCTGCTTTTCCTGAACTAGAGTGTTCCTTCAGCAATTTCAGGGAGAAACTTAGGAAATAAAATGTAATAATTTTCCCCCTCCTCACTCTCATCTCTTCCACTTTTGGGAGGAGAGGGATAAACTCCCTGAAAGTCACACAGCAAACTTAGGAAAGAACCATGGATCTCAATTTACCCCTTCCCTGCTTTCCATCTTAGCTCCTTTACAGGCTTGAAAAGACACCCTGGTGCCCTTAGACCTTCCTTCCCTTTTCGCAAGCGCAGTTAGAACCCCCTTTTTCTGTTCCAAGGGCAATCGCCTCAAGACGATAGGGGCTACAGTCAGATTTGGCCCCTAATTCACTTGATCACATAAAAAACTCCAGATAATTGTTGGCCTGCCTCCTCGCACTGTAGGCAGCATGTTTTGTTGTCTCCAGGGTACCACTGAGGGAGGAAAAGTAGACCTAAAGGACTAAGAGATTCCCCCCAACACACACACTTGTGAGGGCATGCATACACACACACACACACACACACACACACACAGAGCAAGTAACATCCAGCAAGTGGTTCAAAAGGAAATAAATTCAAATCACACCAATGTGATTTGTACAACTTAGTCCTGCTGTTACCTTTCACTCCAGAATTTGGGGATGGGAGAAGGGATATCCCTGGCTTCCCTGCGTACCCTAGATCTCTTCTCCCTCTGTCTTCTACTTCTAATTGCCTTTCTTCCTGAAATATGGATAAATCATCTGAGAAGAAGCTCACCAACAGCCCTCCTCCCACTTTCTCCTAACAAACAAGCAAAAAATTAAGCAGGCCTTGCTAGGGCCTGGTTCTCAGACCAGAATTATTTGGGAGCCTTTGGCTTGAATGTATTATTCAGGTAATCCAGGCAAGATTTTTTGTTTCTTTTTTAGCCCCAAGGAAACAATTTTATTTAATTAATTTATTTCTTTACAGCCAGAGAGGCTTGTTCAGGCTATCCCCATACACTGCCAGGACCTGGGAGGTTATAGAAAGAGAGGTTGGTCCTTGACTCTCCCTAAGTCTCTTCTCAACACCTGGCAGGTCCATAATAGAAGAGAATAAAAAGGTAAAAATATTTCATTATCTCCAGGCATCAACCTTTGAGGCCTATCCGTAGCAAGGGAAACTCCCAGGCCTCTGGCCTCCACCTTACCCCTTTTTCCAAGCCTAAACAAACAGAAGGCATCCTGACAGGTCACTTTGCTGCTTCAGAATCACCAGCTCGAAACCTTTCTTCTTTTAGGAACTCAAATGTTGAGGGGATGTCTTCCTTAATCCCTCATCCCAAAAGAGCCCTAAAGATGAAAGAAAACTCTTCTCCTTCCCACTCCCTAAACGTGCCCTCTTGTCTACAAATTAGGCAGGCCTACTCAGCACAGAGGAGGGAGAAGGGAAGAGAGAGAACATACAGAAAGAAGAAACTGTACCTAACTATAGAAAAGTGAGACACCCCCCACCCTTAGCTCCACTGAAGTGCCCCCAGAGGAGTCTGGCCTCTCTGCAGACTCAGGGGGAAGCAAGGGGACTGGAGAAATTAGCCTTAATCTTCCACATCCCCTCTTCTGAAGATCCCATACCCCAACCCTTTTGCTGTTTCTTCTGAGGACATTGGAAGACTAATGGAGAGCTAAGATTTGTGTGTTTGTTTAAAGTAAACTTAGGCAACTATAGAGAAGATGGGATGTTACCAGGCCAGAGAAAGGAGGGGGATAAAAAGAAACCATCAGACATTGACGTAAAACTAATTCACATCCACTGGTTTATTATTGATCACGGGGCATTTCACATCAACACTAAAATTCTTTATTGCAAGTTTTACAATAATCAAGTAAATTCAGTCCAAAAACACAATAACCACGATGGGGGTGGGGAGAGATTCTACCTATAGACTGCCTCTCTGAACTGAAAGTTCATTTTGATTTTCTTTTGGCTCCTCAAACTGAACAGCTCTGAGAGGCTCTCCAGATGCATTTAGCTTTGTCTGCTGTCTTCGCCCCCTCTCCTCCCGCACCCCCCCCCCCAACAATAATACAAAAGAACTTCATAGCTTTGTTCTCCTTAAAATGACTTCCCCCTCACTAACCTCCCCTGGTGCATTTTCAATGCAAAAGGCCTAAGGAAAGAGGGGGGAAGAAGGAGGAGGAGAAGGATGAGAATTGGCTTTAAAATCTCTTTCCTTTTTTCTTTTCCTCATTTCCCCTGAAATTCACCCAAACCAGACTATCACACCTTGCAATATATAATTTATGCAGTTTTTTCTTAAAAAATAAATAACCCCCCAAATGGCCTTAAAAAAAAAAAAAAAACACCCAGCAGGTACCATGCTAAGACAACATCACATGCTTAAAAGGGTCCTTAACAGTGGAAGGCAGAGGAGGGCAGGGGGCTTGTTTGTTTATCTGTTTTGTCTGTTTGGAACTGACAAGGGACAAGGCGAGAGGAAGAGAGAAAAGAACCGATATATATATATATATATTAAATTCTATAAATAAGAGTCAATTTGTGTGTGAGGGCAGGGTGGGGGCATGGGGTGGGGGCAGGGCTGTGAGTTATGTTTTATAACCTGGTAATGTCCTCTGCCCGTTGCTGCTCCGGCGGCGTGGCGCTCTGGGAGTGGTCTTCAGAAGTACCCGGGGTAGCTGCCGAAAGGGTGCTGGGCGCAGCGCCGGCCGGGGGTGCTGACCTGACTTTGGTGTTGGGGAGTCGGTGGTCCTTCTTCCATTTCATGCGACGGTTTTGGAACCAGATTTTGATCTGCCTCTCAGAGAGGCACAGCGAGTGGGCGATCTCGATCCTTCTCCTTCGGGTCAGGTAGCGGTTGTAATGAAACTCTTTCTCTAATTCCAGGACTTGCTGCCGGGTGTAGGCTGTTCTCGAGCGCTTGGGTTCCCCTCCGTTATAATTGGGGTTCACTGGGGGAGGGGGAGGGGAAAAGCAAATAGTGGGGTTCAGAGGCAGCAGGCACCCCGCCCCCCACCCTCACCTCATCCTCAGCTCTGAGGAACAGGAGGAGGGAGTGGTGGAAATAAAGTCATCAAGCTTAAATGGGTTATAAAGAAGTTGAAGGAAGCTGAAGACTTTGTAGTGTAATAAGAGGGGAATCCTCATTGTAACGACACTGAATTATTTATGCGCCCTTAGAAAGCCAGCATAGTTTTCACACATACATAACAGATCGTAGCACATGGCTCGGACTGCCCAGAGTAGCTAAGCCATAAAATTTATGGGGGATGTAATTACCCATTCTCGCTCGTAAATCCAGTTCAATTGTGCTAACCCAGAGTCGCTCCTGGAGAGAGAGGGGGAAGGAGAGAAAGGAGGACGGGGGCCAGAGGGGGCCGAGGAGGGTGGGGAGCGCTAGGGAAGACGAGAGGGAGGGGGGGGGAGCAAAAAGCAAAGTTGCCTACCCGTGCTAACGTGAATTTTTTTCATCCATGGGTAGACTATGGGTTGCTTGCTGGCGGCGCTGGAGGGATGGTCGGGGGCTGGCTGGCTGCAGGCTGGCGGGGCTGGGGACGGGGAGGCGGAGGCGCCTGAGAGAGGCGCCGGCTCGCAGAGCGACTGTGATTTCTCGGGGTGGTGGTGGCCCGCCTGGGCCGGCCCGTGGCCTCGCGAATTGCCCGGCCCCTGGAGACTGGTGCAGCTATACTGGCGCTCAGGGTAGCTAGGGCGCGGAGGCGGTGGTGGGTACAGCTCCTGGTGGTGATGCTGGAATCCCGATTCCCTGGTCCGGCCGTAATATTCCGGACTGTGTTCAGGGATGTAGCTATTTTGCGAATATTCTTCGCATGGAGGAAATTTCGGATCGATGTAGTTAGAGTCCATCAAATACGAGCTCATGATCATTAATTTCTGGAGTGGAAAATAATTTTTCTCGCTTTGTCGTTTTTCTGCTCCATAAAGCCCTCCTACTAGCTAGCGACCCTGTAAAGTTACTTTCACCATGTGACTCCGCCGGCCAATCACACGGAGCAACCCAGTCCCCGGATAAGGAACCGAATCGCTTTATTCAAAATGTATCCAATTTTTTTGTGTGTGTAGTGGTGGTGGTGCTGGGGGGTGGGTGGTGGTGATGTGGGGTTAGCTGGCAGGGGTTGGGGTGCCGCCAGTGCACATCCCGTCAGACTGACAACGCTCCCCTGCAAAAGGAGATGGGAAGCTCCCGGCTCCCCTCCAAAGCCCGGGCATTGGGGGGCTGTCGGGAGGCAGTGATTCAGCCCCCGCCCAGGGTCTCCCCTCAGGCCTCTGCTGGGCCCCGTGGGCCTCGGCTCTTGAGCTTTTCCAGAGGTCTCCATTCATGGCGATCGTGTCTCAGTCTGTGTAGGTCACCGGGCAGCGCCCCTCTTTCGCAGGAAGAGGAAGTTGAATGAGGACTGGAGTGGAGGTTGGATGGGGAGGGGCCCAGGCTGAGCCGAGGAGGCTGGAGAGCCTGGAGTGCCCCCCATCCAAGGATACCAGAGTCCAGCCCTCTTCCCCATACACACTCACCCAACCCTCTGGCCATGGGGCCGGTGAGGCAGGGTCCCAGCTGGACCAGGCAGGTAGAGGCAGCGGGATGCAAATGATTCTGACGTCATATCTGGAGGTCTGGGGGTTGAGCCCCCGCTGAAGAGAGACAGGAAGTGGTTGGCAAAAGCAGAGTTCAGAAGTCTCGCCTTCCCCTGCTACCCACTGACCCTCCCTGCCCCAGCCCCAGAGCAGAGGATCTCTTCTACTGCTGGCTCCTGTTTCCACTCCCCATTCAGCCCGGCCTGCTATTTTCTGACAATTATCTCCAAGGAGCTGGGGCACGGAGGAGAGCTTTCTGCCAGGAGTCAGTGCCCTCTGATGGTGCCCAGCCAAGACCCTGAGAGTTCTTTCTCTGTCCCCACAGAGGGCAGACCTAGCTAATAGGGAGGCCTGTGTGGGTAGAGCCTGCTTGCTTCTCGCTAGGAGCTGTATCCATGTAACACGTGTGTTTACATGTAAACACGAATTCCTAAGGGCCAGCTCCAGGCTGCTTTCCAAAAACGGAAGGCTAAGCTCACCAAGTTGGGGAGGCAGGGCCAGCCTTGGGGGTCTCCAGCCCATTCACACCCCCTCCCCTCTCTCTGCCACCCACTCACAGTAGTACTCTGATGGAGGAGGGTGGCAGGGCCATAGAGAAGGGAGGGGGCCAGGAAAAGCTGCTTTCCTATCCACCACCCCCCCCCAGCTAGGGGTGGCCCTGTCAGGCCACCGATTCCAATTAACTGATCGCCCATAACTCAGAGTTGGGGGGGTAGCAGAGGGGAGAGCCCAGGGAGGGAGCCGGGTCCCCTTGTTGTACTTGATAACAATTATAGTTTAAAATCATAGCTTGCCGGGGCTCGGCTATATTTTACTTGATAACAATAAAAGTGACACATAAAGTTAACTGTTTATGTTTTATTTATTAGACTAAATCTGCCAGCGGTGGTAGGAGCGCTTGCCTCGTCGCTACAGCTTTTATAGGGCTGTAAAACGTCATAAATCAGTCTCGCGGAATCGCCCGCACTCTTTGTGTCGGCGGCGGCGCGGGGCTGGCGGCCGCTGGCTGCCTGCTCCCTCCTTTCCACGAAAAGTGGTAATGTGATTTTTTCCCCTCTGATTTTATTATTATGATCGCCGCCGTGATTAGTCAATCTACCTTTAATTCGCCGCCCTACGCTGCCTCCTCCTAGCCCAGCCTGGTTGACACTTGAATAAGTACCTTTTAAAACGGCATAACAACTATTTGAGGGTTTAATTAGAACATCTGCAATTAAGGGAATGAGGAGGGGAAAGGGAAAAAAAATAAAGCCCTTGTGAGAGGGAGACTGAAAGCAAGAGATTCCCATCCTTTCTTCATTACCTTTGGGATGTTGGAGAGGGTTTGCACTTCCAAATTAGGGCTTCCCCAGAGGGCTGGAATGAGAGGGAAGCTGGACCACAGGCAGTGCCCAAAGGGTGCTGATTCCCGCCTGGGCCCTCGCTGCCTTCCCTCTTCTAATGTTTAGGCCCCCAACCTCACCCCAGGCTCAGCAGGGCCAGCGCTTAGCTTCCAAAGAGCTGGCACTTGGGGGTCCCTGAATACTCTCTCTCCAAGAGGACAGTGCCCATCCCCACTGTCACCTGGCCAGGTGAAGGAACAGGAGTTCCCCAGAGGCTGACCACCTCTTATGGAGATTCCCAAATTCTCAGAGTTGGCTGAGAACCCTTGCCCACTCTTGTCTGGAACCCTCTGCATGTGAGGACAGGCTGGTTAGGTTGGAGAGGAACTTGAGACTGTGAGTGAGGGGGCAGAGGAAGGCTACTGCTTGGCTAACAGTGGTTTGAGTTGTGTGAGGGTTGTCTTATTTTAATCATTGGTGATGGGGGTGGGTTCATTAAAAATTGCTGGAAGAGGGCAAAGGGAAGCCAGTGCTGAATCCTAGTACCTAAGTCTGAACTATAGTCCCAGATGACTCCATGGGGAAGTCCAAAGCTCAGCAAACTTTGGTACCCTGCGGAGACGGTTGATGAAGAGGGAGGAAACAGGGCCCCACTCCCTGCCCCCTTCTAGGTCTGTACCTGGATAGGGCTGCCTCACCTGGAAAGGTGAGCTGTGAGCCTGACTCTCCTCCTCTCAGCCCTCACACTCACCTTCTACCATCCCTACCCTGGCCCTAACCCTCTTTTCTTCAATCTTCACCCTCCTGGACTTGTTAAGAAGTCCTCCCCAATATGTTGCCTGTCACATCTCATCCCAGCCAGGTTTCTGAACTTCTGCAGGTGGGTCAAGGAGACTGACTTTGGGCCAGTGTAAGTAGTAGACACAGAGGGTTCAGATGCCCCCAACTGAATGTCAAGTCTGTCTTTGGTTATTATGGTTAACATATATGCATGCACACTATTAATATTTATTAATATATTAAATGCCTCTTTATGCAGCTATAAATATGTACAGTTCTCATTCCAGGTTTGTGCAGCTAATGCAACATGCACATCCAGAAAGTGAAATCTCCAAGGTTCCCCTAAACGTGCCCACACTCGTCTATATCATTTACAAAACAACAACAACAACTCCCTTTGGGCTCCTATAGCTTAATAGCAAGGAAGTCGCCTATCACATGGGTAAAATACCACACACATACACACAAACATTTTCACCTGGATATTATTACAAGCACAGAAATAAAATCCGTTCGAAGGGCTTTTGCACTTAGCAATGGCTTAATTGGGAGGGGGTGGGGGTACTAAAGCAGCTCTCATCTGTGATGAATCCTTGTATCTGGTCCTGTCTTCTTTTGTGTTTCACCCTCCTGCCTCCCGCCTTGCTGGCCCAGGGACCGCACCTCTGCCCTGTCCTCCACCTTACTTTGCCCCAGTTTTATTTGTTTTTATTTTTTCTGACTACCTTTTGCCAGCATCCAAATGCTCTCTGCAATTGCCCCTCCACCCCATCCCCTTTCTAAATCTCGATTTGGTTTCTCTTTCGGAAACACGTTTCAGTACAAAGCGCTTCCCTTCTGACATCGCTGAAGAAAAATATGTGTCCATTGTGTGTGAGGCCTTATTGTGCCTGGATTACCATACTGACCGTTGGATAACCCATATTCCTCCCCTCCCCAGTAACAAGCTGCCGGCTGAGAGAGCTCAGCGGCTCCACAGATTCTCTGCTGCATTAAAATCTCACCCCTCTCTGATTTTTCCAAGGGAGAAAAATAAATGGGTGAACCAATTCAGGATTTGGAGGGCAAAGGGAAGGAAAATGAGGGTCATTCCTTTCCCTACTCTTTAAAATGCAGGGTTTATGTGTGTGAATGTTGTTGTTGTTGTTGTTTTAGGGATTAAAAATTGCAACATGTCTGTTTCCTTTCACTCACATAAATTGACTTTTAGATGGTATGCAATCAGGCAATTCATTTCACTTTGATTTTTTTTCCTTTGGGCAACTTGAAAACCCCAAACTAAATCAAGGCTCATATCCCATTTTTTTCGTGTGTGTGTGTGTGTGTGTGTGTGTGTGTGTGTGTGCGCGCGCGCGTGTTTGTCCCTTTCTAATGCCCCAGCCAGGGCTAATGTATGCAAAAGAATATGCAAATGCTTAATTGATTTTTTCTTAAATCTCTTGTCAGTAAAAGTAATGAATTGGTCTAAAATGATTTTAATAACCTGGATATGTCACCAGAAAATACTCAACCTTTTTTCTTCTCCTGGAATAGCTTATAGTCTCAAAAAAAAAGCAATCATGGAATGTTAATTTGCCCCCCTTTAAAATATTGAAGATGAATTTCTCTTGTTTGTTTGGAGACCATAGGCGAGGTCCTCTCATGGATTTCCCCCGCCTTGCCTTGCCTTCCTTGGAATTCAATTTTCCTTAAATCTCGTTTAAAGTGGCTTTTTAAAAAGTGGCCGCATTTTAATATTGGTTAGACAGAGTGACCTGCATTTCACCTCGGGTGTTTGACTTGTTCCAATAGGTCACTGCCATGGGGTTATTGATGAGGAAACTCCATTGAAATTTGTCTCTTCGCAAATGGCCTTTAGATCTTCCAGCGAGTTCAATAACTAGTTATAATGTGGAAGGGGAAAAATGAAGGCCCTGGGCTAACGAATTTGATGTTTCATTTTTATGCTGGAGAAATTGTTAGTTAGAGATTGGGTTCCCCACCACCTTCCTCCCTCATCCCAGCCTCATTGACCCCCACCCCTCTTCAAGACTGCTTTTTAAAACTTGGTTTGGGGTGTCCCTTGCTAACTTTGATGCAAGCTTTAATTCTTCATATTATGAAAATTGTTGCTGAAACTTCTGATGTGTGGATGCAGGAACCTTGCTCTGCTGCAGGTTTGTAACCTGAATTTCTCGCTGGGGAGGGGGAGTTTTATTTTTCAAGGAACCTAAATTTGGCTTGAAAAGATCTAGAAACCAGGCTGGCCTTAGGTTAGTTTATGGAGGGCTCCCTGGCCTGGTCCTCCCAGTATTAAAGAGATGACAGGAAGCTGGAAACACTTTTAAGAGTTTATGAGGGTATCTCAAAGTGCCTTAATCTGTTCTTGGCCTCTGAACTGCCAGAGACCCATGAGATTAGGCACCCAAGAGCAAAGAAGGCAGAGACTGGGAAAAGCTAAGGATAGAGAGAGAATTCTACAGTAGGCAAGGGAATCCTGGGTCCTCTCCAGGGTCAGCGTCAGAATTCATGGGGACTCAGTCGGGTCACCTCTGTTGCTTCACAAGAAGGGTGACCCAGAAAAGCTCAATTCCCAAAGACCATGCATTTTAGTAAACTGGAGAGAGTCGAGGAAAAAGTGGGGTGTTGGAGATTTTATAAGCTTTCCCTTTTTCTGGAGTTTTTAAGGGAGGGAGAGGAAAAGGCAGAGGAAGGGATTGGAGGTCTTTATTTTATTTACCCCAACCACAGTCAAGTTGGGGAACCCTTGACTCCTCGAGAAACCTCTGTGAGAAAGAACTTTGGAGAGCGCGGTCTCCTGGGCTGACCCAGCGATATCAGATCATTACCATGATTAACCTCAATAATAAGAACATCTTCCCCTCACAAAACACAGCTCCCGGGGTGCCTTTTTTCCCCTTCCAGGAGCTGTTCTTTCTCCTTTCCCGCCCAAAAGGATCCAGTTTGCTCAGCCCC